GACTCGGTAAAAACAATTTTTACATTCATAAACTATCTCGCACGTCTTAATTATAGTTACTGATTTCAGTGCTAAAAATTTATTTTTAAAATATTTACTAATTTTATTTTCAATTTTGCTTTCTAATTTTATTCTTTCTTTTCATAATCTAATTAATAAACATATGAAAACTTTATATATTATTATATTAATATATGTTACAAGTTATATTTTACCAATGTGGCATAATCACATTGCGCGTATTATGCTTTATATTACAAAATTGTAATTTTTTTATTATACCATTTTCATATTTTCTATTATTTTATTTAATTTATTTGAATTTTTTTTTCAAAATTTTATGTATTATTTATCTTATTATTATATATTAGAATAAAATAATCTCTATTAATTTACGCAAACTTGTTTCCACATGTACTTAGTACATACAAATCTTTTAGCGTCATTTGTTAGTTTCTCAGTTCGATTCCAGAGATGTTTGAGCATGAATCTACAATAGCTTAAATGCTTGATGGATAAGACTCCTTGTAACCGATCTTCGTCTTTGGTGTTTTGGCCATATTACGGAGGATAGGGGTTAAACGTACATGTAACGATAATCCACGGGAAACCGCAAGCAAAGCCCTAATTATGTATTAGGAACCCTGACAAGGTATGAATTTATTTTTCTCTGTGCGGAATACAAATTCTTTCAAGTATTATGAGCAAGTGGTCCTATCTTAAAAGAGCGATTAAAGCACAAAGCTGATTCCGAGGAGTATCTTGGCATCAGACCTATCATGTTAGACGCTCCAATCAATGCGATAAAGGTGAAGCTTACTGTCACAGAGCTTTATTACCGGACAATTGAAAAAATATTAGGTAAAAAGCACTTAAGTGCATCTTACCCGGTCAAAACCTTAAACCAAAACTCGACTTGATTATGAATGTGGAGTCAGGTATCCAAACGTTGACAGGTAAAAATCTTTAAATACTATTCATTTGTTATAAATACATAACTTGTTGTCAATCATAAAAAAACACTGAGCCCACTCTACTCTCGAGATCAAAGGCCATTCTTCGTGGAACTTAGACTTTTTCGATCGTTTAAGGTCATATTTGCAGCCCATTTTAGGTCTCTCTTTTCCCTCATCTTTCGACCATTTTCATTCAAATACTATGCTTTATCTCTGCCTCACCTTAATTTTCTCCATCTATAACGTCTTGATACACTACTGATTATCCTTTGCTCGGCCCATTGTCACCAGTTTCTCACTTTTTCCTTACTCTTCACGTTCTCCCATAGTTTTTTTTATCCATTTTCTTACCTGGACATTAGAGAGCGGTTGAAAAACACCACCCTCACAACGTGTCTTCCCGATTTATATGTGTTTGTTGATTGCGCATGAGTTTGTGCCACAATGGTTTTTAAGAGAACTACAAATCTACGAAAAGTTATCAAAATTTAAGATTTATAACTTAAGTATTTAAGAAAAAGTAAAGATAAAAAAATCAATTCTAAAATGTGGAAGTATTAAAAACAAAAACTTTTGAGGGAACAAAATTTGCCTCCTTAATATTATTATGTCTATTTTAAGATCTAAACAATTAATTAAAAAAAGTTATATTAATATAGGATTTTATATTGATATGTATCCCACTCTAAATTAATGATGACATATTTTGATCTGGTGAATTACAATTATCCTAATATTTATAAATCACGTCAATTAGACGCATCCATCTTTATATATTTATTATTAAGATATATTTTTTTAAAAATTCACTATAACCTTTCATTTAATATAGAACCATAGCCTTACTCGAACATCTTCCATAATCGGTTGGACATTAGGCTATTTTAGCCTGGTTTCTTAATGATGAAAGAGGAGGGGGTTATCTCTCCTATATGAAATAATAAATTATGAAGAAGGTGAAATCAGGAATCGAACCCGGAAGAAGAAGGTGTTATCTAAGGAACTCGATTTGCTAGAAGATGGAGACCTAGTAGACATCCCCGAGTTGGAAAACAAAGATATGATAGAAAAAGTTACTCTAAGCATAATATTACGATGTCTCAACCCTACAGTGTAGAAAGTTGGAGGGCTAGTGAAAGCTCTTTCCTTACTTGGGGATTGGAGGACCAAATTTGAGGGCGAGGAGTAGGTGAGAACAAAGTGCAGTTCATTTTTCAAAACGAATGAGACCTTCACCATGTTCTACATAGAGAACCCTGATTTGTAAGCGGGTATATTGTTTCATTTGATTTGTGAAAGGTTAATCTAGGACATGATTTCATGAACCAAAACGCCTTTTAGAATCACATAAGAAGCTTTCTAATTTATCAAGGAAAAATAAAGGCATTAGAGAGCATCATCGAACATATAGATCGAGTGGAAAAAGTGGAGTTACATGCTAAATAGTCTAGCTCAGTTGCAAGATGTTAGGTAATGAATATGTCACTCACTTGCTATTTAAGTGCAAGTATACTCGATTAGTATGGGCGCTTTCAACTTTCCCAGCTCCACCATGAGGAGAAATAAGCAACTGTTTGTATACCAACTTCCACATGATAATGAATATAGAGGCTCAATATCCAACGATCGAACAACTTTATAATATTGCTTTTTGGGTATTGTGGAGGTTGTGGAAGAGTATGAAAGAATTTGTCTTCAAAGGTAAGTTGGTAGACGTAGAGGAAACATAGAGAAAGATGCATGAAGATGCAAGTTAATGGGCTAATAAGGTTAAAGACATATCGAGGAAAATACATAGGACACTTGGTCACAA